AATTAAAACATCATTAGTACAGGACCTCTGCAAAATTTACTACAAGTACCTACTTTACAACTCTAAGTATAACTAGATACTATGAATGCACGTTACAAGTGAATTTATTTGTGTTTAATCTGGTGGATGTTTTGAATTATTTAAAAACGTTTTATCATGATTTAATGTTACTCAAAATTATGCGATCGCTAAGTAGGCAAATCAACGAATTAATCGAAAATAACTGATAATATTGGGCTTTAACCATTAGTTCATCGAATTCCGTGGCAATGTAAAAGCAATAAATCGGTTTTTCGCTATCTATATGGCCGGAGATTGGCGCAGTGAATTTGATTAAAGCAGTGTTCGCGGCAAGGGTTGGGCTCGAAGGACCACAACGCATTAAGGAGGCGCGCGCCAGAAAATCGAATTTTCCGCTCTATGCGTCCGCGTGCACGCGCCTTTGTGCTTTCCGAAGCTTTTCAGAGCGTGACCTGTACTACAAACATTGGCTACAACATTTTTTTCTAAGGTATAATTTTCAAAACCCTTACGACTTGTATATGGTAATGGTTACTGCAAATGTATTTGCTCTGTTTCTTTTATTACTACTCTCAAGGAATCTTCTTTTAAATTTTAAGTCAAGATCAATATTGCACAATCATAATTGCTAATTTCATTATTTATTTTATAGAATTGGAAAATCAGCTTTTTAAATTATAAATTGCGACCTAATCTTTTACACTTATGAAAAACCTTTTGTAAAAATTATCACATGACCTGTCAACTAATACTCCAGGCATAAACACGATAAAAATCACCTGTTTCATTTCGTTCACGGAAAACACTTGATATGTGAGGTCAATGCAATAAAGGAACTGATTCCCACAATAATCGCTTCCAGTAACAGTGTTAGAGGGTGGGCGAGACTGCCATCAGATGTCGCCCCGATGTGGGTCGCGCCTGATAAATGGTCGCGAACCCTCGGGAATATTGTATCAGAAAGCACCGAGCGTTAAGATAAGACAGTGTCTTGTAAATTACGACTCACCAGTTCACTCTATTGTTCCTTTCCTTTCCTAAAACTTCCCTGTGAGTTTATTTTGTTAGCCCTTCGATTCAAGATGAACGATCTCAAAAATCTTACATCTATGCACAAGTTATCGAATATAGTTAAGTGAGGTTTTTTTTTAGACAACAAAGAAAGACTAAACAAAATTGAAACAGGACAAATAGGATTACGAATACAGTGCGACCCGGAATAAACAAGTTACGAATTTCGGGCACAAGAGGTTCGAGTGAGCGCTTAGCCCTGTACCGCATTAATAAAGGTAAGAGCGCCCGTGTCGCCTAATGTGTCGTTATGACCCGCACTCAAAAACTTCTTCCGCGCCTTAGAATCTTTCTCAAACAATCAATAATAACCTTAAAAACCTTAGACATAAAGACTGATTTCCAATGGAAGGCCCTACAGTAAACGTGTTTATGGATCGTCATGAAAAGCCTGCAATTTCAGCGCTTGTATCCAAATTAAACTTTATTACGTCGACCCTTAAAGCTGAATTACCTTGTTCTTCATTTAGATGTCGGTACATTTACAGCTTCCATATTTTTAAGTCGAATAAAACGAAAACAGTGGAAATGGAAAAGTTACTTTTATACAAAAATCATGAGTCATGTGTATTTTATATATTTAAAGCGCCTGGAATTCTAGATGCAGCAACGTCTAGAGTAAGAACTTAGCTCTATGTTCAACATTTGATCTGTTCTAAAGAATAGTGTATTTCATTATGCATTTTTTTAAATTAATGTATTAAATACATTACCTGTACAGTCTCATCGTATGAATAACTCTGACTCGTGTATTTTGTGCTCATTTCACCAACGCTCACTG